GAAAAATGTAGTTTACAAAACGTTCCTGTTCGCTTATTAGAACGCGTTTCCCCATTCATTTTTTAGCTTAAAATAATCATTAATCTTTCCTTTACCATATTCCAAAAACAGATCTTCTCTAGTTTGCTTCATTTTTAAACGCGAGCGCCTTTCTCAGACCTACCACTTTCACCTCGGATTTAGGCTGAAATGAGGGCACCGACGGCCAAAATCGATTTTCACGATTTTCTCAAAATAAAAGTGAAATTATTCAAAATGAACATCAGTACGTTTATTGGAATGGTATTCTACATCTTTGGACCAAATATGAAAAAAATCGATTTTTTCAACTTGGCCGCTGGATGTTTGATTCTTACAGACATAGCCTCTTAAATCGAAAATACAAAACTGTATCAAGGGAAGGAATGGAACATAGTGGCAATTTTAACACAAAAAAGCAGCCCTCAGGGTTAATTGAAATTTTTATGTGCAAACTTAYGACGGACAAACAACTGACTACTGAGATAACAATGGCATTTTAAAAGATTTTCTCAAAGGACAGAAAAAATCCAAAAGACAACTTATTCACATATATTCAAGAAGAATTTTAAATGGTAAGAACAGACGAAACAATAAAGAAAGTGCAAGTTAACTGACAAGAATCTTATATTAAGCAAATTGTAAACATGGCACGGCTTTGAATGATCTGACAACAAAGTATTTGTAAATAAATTATTTCAGTTTACCACTCATTAATAAGAAAAATGATCCAAAGAACTGATAAGATAAAAAATATTGGAAAGAGAGTTTTGACAGTAATAATAGAGACAAAAAGCTATAGTCTAAATAGAGCAAGTTTAAGCTATACTTCCAGTTGAGTTCACAAATATGAATGAAAACAGTGCCACCGGTTGACCGTTGCTTTGTTTAGTAAAGTTTTCAGTGTCATTTTTTGTTTTCAATACAATAATTTTAGCTAGTAGGTTTATGCTAAAACAATTAGACTACTCATTCTCGTTTTCTATGAGTCAAATAGTCGCTTCGGCACTAGGTGCCTCATCGACTATCTATTGACTCTATGCTATGTACAACTGTTATCCGTGGACTAAGATCATTCATAGCAGGTCAACAATCTTAAGAGCCCATAAACTGGACTGATGAGCTACGCAGTATTAAACTACAGATTAATAACTGATATTACAAATCAGATGATTGATTCAGACCAAATTGCACTCCACTCAGTTGTGGTGATTTGATCTTGTCTTGTTCTGATCTGATTGATTACTGTCTTTAATAAGATAATGTACTGAACATGTTTGTAAGTGGATCGAATACTTTAGGCATAGATTAATTCGATTGAATCAACTTGGATCAAAACTATATWTTTTTTAATTAACCTGGATTGAAATGACTGTTGCTTGACAAATGTACCGATCAGCAATTATTCAGGAATAATAAAAAATAATGGCAAAAATACATATTATATGGAAAAAACAACAACAAATCATTAATTTTATGGCTGCTGTAAACTTAGAAGCTAGAGAAAATGTTGAAAACCAAAGATAAGTTATGATAATCAGTAGCTCTGACACTTTACCTTTTTCAATACTATGTAGTCTCTTATATTTCCTAATCTAAGCCCCACCCCCTTTTTTAGGGTGCTCAGCGGTCCTTGTTTAAGACCTTTGGTAAAGTTTACAATGTAGTCCATAATTTGATACTGGTAATACAAGTACGTTATGTGCTTTCCTACTTTGAYTTTTAAGTTCTTATGACATAAAAACAAAGATTATTACTTTTTCTAGAAAGAAAGATAATATGGGATGATATATGGAATTCCTGAGGGGTGAAAGGGCAATATGCATAGAATTCCTTGAGTCATAGGAATTTCCAAAGGCAAGGGGATAAGAAAGGATCAATGCCACTGCTGGTAGGAGTATGGATATCTTCTCTAAGAGATGATTGGCCATCCATTTATAGTGCTAATTTTGGCCAAGCATTATCCACTGACTGGCCTTTTATTGATAGCCTATAATATAATAATTATTATATAAAGTATAGGAAAAACTTACAAAACTGCTCTCTGGATCAAAGACTGCTATTGTAAAATCCAAGTCAAAAAATTCCAAAAATTCTTTAACAAGTCCAGCCACGAGTCGTCCTGAAGAAATCATTATAAAGTCATGTTTTTAATATGGATAATCAATATAACATGTACTGTATAAAACTTAAGAACTGATACAGAAATTCCATGACATTTTATATGAAACATTATAGTCGCAGGCCTACATTGAAAAACTCCTTCAAAACAGGAGCTCTCAGAAAATATCCATACCCCTGCCATCGATGGCATTTTGGTAATCCGAAGGAGAAGTTGCCACCAATGGTAGGGGTATGGATATTCTTTGAAACTACCCAATAAATAAATAGTTACCTTCACTAGTGTTTAAAAACTTCTTCAGATTTGGGTTTGAAAGAGGAACCTTGTTCTGGAATAAAAATACATTCAGTGAATGACAAGAGGTTTATACTAATGCTTTCTCATGAGAAAACGTTCTTAGAAAGATATTATACATACAGAATTGCTAATTTGCTGATCCCAATAATGAAAAAAAAATGGGTGTCCATGGCTTGTTATAGAGATATTGAATTTTGAATATTACCATCTTGACAAGTTTAGTTTCGAAAGAAAAAGTTTAGCACACACATAATTCGGAACCCAAAAATAAAAAAAGCTAATGGATTGAAGTAATTTTCTCTGGACATCTATTATATCTTAAGGTGGCTGCCTACTTTTGCGCTCAAAAACCGCTGAAAAATCTACAAGATCTTATTGAAGAACCATATGCGTTTTGAGCTTCAACAGGGCAAAACCCTCAAATTTTGCACGGGACTCTATATTTTTTGATAGCTCATTCGAAAAAACTCCTAAAAATCTAGGTTATATCAACATTTTAGGAAAAGTTTAAATCAGGAACACGTGAAAAAATAGATTTTTGTAGGGATTTTTGTTCGACTTTATGAGATTTTTTAAGACCGAAACTACAAAATATGACAAATCAATGTATCTCTCTGTCTTTTTGTCGAAAATATCCATGTATTATTGTAGAATGATTGACTAGCCTTCATTCATGCAATCATATAGTCTGCAAATAACTATTATCTTATTCATCTTAATTTTTTTCTAATCACTTCCGGTGGCGCAATTTTTACTCCAAAAGCTCGTGCGTAGGCTTCCATTAAATGCTGATTATCTCGAAAACGAGCTCGGGACACCCTATTTTTCTTTCCAGATTTGGAATCWGCATTAAATTTCAATTCGGAAAATCGAAGTTTTAAAAAAAGCTTAAATCAATTTCCAAAAGTAGGCAGTCACCTTAAACTCCATTTTCAAAAACTAATTATGATATTAATTGGTAATCACATTGTTAGTCAAAATTTTCACAAATATGTGACAAATTTATCCCTAATTTCACTTGTCACCATGTGATTATCTAAACAAATTTTTGAGTGAAATGTTTCCTTTTTATATTGACCTATATGCTAACTCCAATACATTTCCTCATACAGTAATCCATACACAGGAACCTTGTTTGGGCTGCCTGTGGGCTTCAAGATAATAATAATACAGACCTCTGCTTCTTCTTGCTCTTCCAAGGCTAAAAACACACTTGCGCGTAACTGAGCCTGGATTAAAGTAATACAAAAACACATAATTTATATGTCACCATTATTTCAAAAAGATATTGCCTGCCTTCCAAAACAAACTCATGTGAGAGTAAGATTGCTGTCTAGACTATCACAGCACTTATTTATAAGTCTTAAGGATAGACCATTAGATAATTGAGGAGGGAGGGTTGCTAAAATAAATAAAGGATTGAGCAAGCCCACCTACTAAAAAAGAGATCGCCCAACCTTTCCATTTGTAAAGAAATATTGAGCAAGCACAAAAAAAAGCGTGCAAGTGTTGTTTGCACAAAATAGATATCGTGCAACATAAATTGCTGCAGTACCCCCCATCCCCCTCAACTATCTAATGCTTCCTCCCTTATACTCGAATTTATTTTAAATTTTAGAATATTTCAAGGAATAATTATAAGCTTTATAATGAGTTTAATCACTGGAAAAAACGATTATCAATACTTGCAAAAAAACAAATAAGCTTCGTTTGCAACAACTTTTTTATTTCATTGAGCCAAAATCCTTCGTAATCACAATATCAAATGCGCTTACCGTTCAAAAGTAAACACCAAGTAATCAATTATTTCTATCAGCAAATAAGAAAGACAAAATAAGCGTCTGGTACTTTTATCCCGATGAAAAAGAGTAAAGATTTTCGACTTCACCAAAAAGTGTTAAACGAAGATTTTTGCAAAATTTTTTTGCGTCAAATAAAGCATTAATGAAGCTAAGAATGAAATAGAACTTAAAATCTTGACTTTTTCTTACCCTTATTTTCCCTAGAACTCCTTTGCTTTCCAGTGATTGTGCCACTAAATCTCTCAGTTCTGTGTCTTCTTCGGCCGACATTTTGAGTTTTTGAGAGCGGAATGTAACTAGCATCCAGTCCTACATGCTTTACCGCGGTTTTCCGAACGATTAAAAAAAATTAATACAATTTTAATCTATTAATTTTCTCACTGTAGAGTTTTCCAAATATAAAATTAAGGCAAGAATTTTTTCATTCGTTTTCAATGTTTGAAAATATTATTTGGAATTTCGTAGAAATGAACGGTTCTGATCGGTTCAAGAAGTATTCCGAGGTATTCCGAATGAATATCGATTAGCTGTTTTCGCGCCAATTTTCAGCTAAGTATCGCTTGTCTGTCGTTTTGGATTTACATAATTGAATTTTGACAGATCATATCGGCAGGAACTTTAGACATCGGCTTTATATTAGCTAAATAAAACCAAATAGAAAATGCCTACCCTCTATCTTCACATTGTGGCGAATTCTTTTCTTCCATGAATTCTTCCATAATTTTTTATTTCGTTTTTACAATTTTTACACTAAAGTGATGGTTAAAAAGCTCGTTAAGGTTATTCCCTTGAAAGAAACTTTGTCCTCAAATTTTGCATGGACATTTATTATGTTATGGACATTTAAAAGCTGCAATAAAAATATGGGGTCACCATTCTCGTTTTTTCGCTAGATGCTCTCCAAATATGTCAATTTATGGGTTTTATAGTGAAATGCGGTAGCAACCGGAAGCTGTTAGTGTAATCAAGAACTTTTATTCACAGTAAAAGTACTTTTATCAAAGCAAAACACGTACTTATAACTCGAAGTTTGCTAGATAATCTAAACTATTAAATCCAGTACAGTCATTGAATGACTTTGATTCTTGAACTTTTAATGAAAAATGCAGGTATGTGCGCCTCTACAAACGTCCAAAAATTGCACATGTCAACCGATTCCCACCAAAATATTTCAAAATCTATCCAATAAACTTTCCTTCATATTTTGATATATAATGACGAGCATTGCATTAATCAAAAATCTGAAATAAAAAATGGGGGAGTCGCTATTCTCGTTTTTGAATTATGTTGAAAAAAACATCTCAAAATAGTCGAAAACTGACACTTTTCCGAGTGAAGAAAAAAGAGTCAAATAAAAATCGCAATKTCTCACTCAAAAATAGAGAAAAAGTGGAAATTGAACATGTTTCTTATTTAGTTTCCGAAATAAAAATGCCTAAGCTTTGTTAGTTTCATGCTTTTAGTTGCATGCAGCAGTGCAAAACAAGGGAACTACCTTAAAAAAAGTCGTCATGGCCTAAATGACGTGGGATTTGAAAGCGGTACACCGGGCGGGCGACACTTTTAGCCTTACGCACAGGATTCTTCCCATGCATGCGATGACCACGAAAACTGAGTTGGATAAGTTTACCACATTTCTATACCTATGGTGCTCCGGCGGGACCGCCGTATAAATAATTAATGGGATTTATATTTTCATTGCAATGGCGCGCCTTTTTAATTTTCGCAGGTTAATTTTTTGCTGTAACTGTATAACAACTCTTTTTTGCAGAACCTTGAAACCTGTAATGATGACAACTATCTAAACTCTGCTTGGGCTGATCCTTTCTCACTCAATAAAACAATTTCAGGGTGTGCGTAGTGATGTGAAATGGAGACCTTGAATTTTAAATGTAAAGATATAGGACTGTGAAGGCAATACAAAACACCAAACACAATTGCAATGACTTTGCAATAACTTTGGGGCAGAGAGAGGGAAAGAAACACAAGAAGTGGAAGAATGAATTAAAACCTTACCTTCCAATTCTTCCAGCTTTCCTTCAATCCCTCTAAATTTGGCAACAAACTAGTCTACTGAAGGCTTGATTTCTTTAATTAATGTAATCGATATGAAATTATGTGTTGTTCATTATTTGCTGCTTTGCGAAATGTTGTAAGGCATGGAAAAGAGATGGTGTGTATTCATGTATTTATCTAGTTGACTTACAGAAGTTTCATGTAAACTGGTACTGAACAACCTTAGTACAAAAGATTTGCATTTATACAATTATTTCAATAAACGTTGTCGGTCGGAGATCTGAGACGGGCAAATTAATTTTGAATAAGAAAGAAAATTCGAGAAATATTTTGGTACTGGTAGTAAAATGACACCATCTTCCAAACGGCCCATTGCAAAATCATTATCGAGTTCAAAAGCTGAGACCGAGAGGTTTTCTGGGAAATGACATAACTATATTTCAGATACAAAGTCGATCCACATATGAAACATGATAAAAGCCTTCATGCTTTCTGTCAATGCCACAAAAGACCTAATTACCTTCAAATGTAAATTGCCCATTTCAAAACATGTGGTGTTTACATGATGTCCTCTGGAGAAATGTTTTCATATCCACTTGAATATTAACGAATAAATTTCAGAAAATAAAGGAACAATTGTCAGGAACATCACATGGTTTGAAATGGGTAATTTGTATATAAGGGTAATTAGGCCTATTTATGAACATTCTACGTGTTATATCACTAAAGAGAGCTAGCAGGGCCGTAGCAAGGGGAGAGGCTAGGGGGATGCCGCCTTCCCAATAATTTTACAACTGCTTTGGCTAAGATTTAAGATGTCATAAATGTAGCACGGGGCGACAGAATTTAGTGGTAAAAAGATACATTATTACATTACGAAGCTGGCGGTGTCTTGATCCATAATATATACAGAATACTACGGTGACTCCTAAGGTGCCACCTATGAGGAGCTTCTTTTTTTTGCGTTGCCACTTTCGTTGCNGGGGGAGGGGGAGGGGGAGGGGGAAGAATGAATGAAAACCTCACCTTCTATTCCTTCCGGCTTTCCTTCAATCCCTCTAGTTGGCAACACAGTCTAATGAATGCTTGATGTCTTTAATTAATTTAATCGATATGAAATTATATTTTGTTCATTACTTGCTGCTTTGCGAAATGTTGTAAGGCATGGAGAAGAGATGGTGTGTATATTCGTGTGTATATGCATTTGACTTACAGAAGTTCAATGTAAACTCATTGGTAATGAACAACCTTAGAACAAAAGATTTGCATTTGTACAACATGTGTTTATATGATGTTCTCTGGAGAACATTTTTCATATGCACATATGTGTTGCACACATGTTGTACGAATGCTACAATATGAACGAATACATTTCAGAAAAATAAAGGAACAACTCTCATTGAGAATATCATGTAAACATCACATGGTTTGAATGGGCACTTTTTATACAAAGGTAATTAGGCCTATTTATGAACATTCCACGAGTTATGTCACTAGATAAATCTTGCAGGGCCGTAGCAAGGGGAGGGCCTATGGGGATCCCACATTCCCAAAAATTACAATGACCATCGATTATTCAATAATGGGCGTGGCTTGAGAGTCACATTGTCAAAGTAGCATGTGGATCCACACTACTTTGACAATGTGATTTATCGTCAATAAGAGGACAAACACATAAAAAGCTGATTTGAATTTGTTAATTTTACAATAACAGAGCGTATTCTCGCAATCTGATTGTCTGACAACTATGATCAATAAGAGGACAGACATAAAATGACGAATATCATCGTTCGCGCACGGATCAAGTGCGCGCTTGAAACCGTTTTTCTTTTAAACCTTTTCCTTGTTTTTAGATGTTTTTTAAAATTATTTTACTGTAAAAAAACAAATCGCTCATAGATTCCCATTGTCTCTCCTTTTATTGATAATAGATAACGTCTAAAAAATTTTCAAAACTTTACAGTTTCCACTTGCGTTTCCACTCGAGTTTCCACTTGAGTTTTGAACATTTTAAGACGTTTTCTATGATCACTAAGACGACATACAATGAAAATCTATGAGCGATTGGTTAATCGACAATCTGAGAGACACTATCCTACTGCGTCTTCAACTACGGAACTCCGTTGTTATGAATTATTATGAACAATTATTATGAACTGAATTATTATGAATTCTTTTGCAATAGAATAATTGCCGCCATAAGGGATGATTTATCTTATGGAGTCTGCTACTGGCAGTGATTTTCACTGATATGATTATAACCAAGAGAGCATAGATAATAAAGGCAAACTTCTTAACAACGCGAGCGCCATGTAAATTGCCGGTTGGACTATTTTTAGTAACCGGATGCAGTTTAAATTTCTCATTTCCCTACTCCCGTGCGTCATCATCTGTTTTATATCGTTTTGATCACTATATAAAGACGAAAAGGAAAGACTGTGCGCGCACAAGTGGATGGCGCACGGGATGTATTTAGTAAAACTAAAAAGAAAGTGCATCATAGTAAAATAAACCTCTTATGTGTATTGTTCAGTATATTCTTTAATATCGTACTTCACTACTATAGCATCACCATACAGTACATTCTACCGAGGAACGGACCGAACTAAATCTGGCAATTTAATTCTTTTTTTTTTTTTTTTTTTTTTTTAGAAATTAGCTGGAGATTATTAAAGTGCAAATGAACCCTTTGACAATACATTCAGTACTGGTTCTGCATAAAGTAAATAGTTGATTGGTAAAATATTTCTTGATTTGAGTGATGCGTCTCTAAGTTATGAAGGTTTATACTTCCAAAATGTTAATGATGATGACGTCAGGTAAGGTATTTGAGTATTTTTGTTGTTGCTAGTAATACTAAATGCTGGCCATTTTGAAATTAAAACTTTTAAATAGCTTTCATGTAAACCATGAGTAAAATAATGATGCTTTTTAAATACTGTATCTATGAACCAGCTTAAGCCTTAATGACGTCACACTCATTAGCATATTGGAAGTATAGACCTTCATAACTTAGAAACGCATCACTCAAACCAAGAATGTAGTGTCGAAGGGTTCATTTGCACTTTAATAATCTCCAGCTAATTTCTAAAAAAAAAAGAATTAAATTGCCAGATTTAGTTCCAGTCGTTCCTCGGTAGAATGTGCTGTATGGTGATGCTATAGTTTGGTTTGGTTTGGTTTGGTTTGGTTTGGTTTGGTTTGGTTTGGTTTGGTTTTTTGTTTTATTTTGTTTTGGTCTTTTTGTTTGTTTTGTTTTTGTTTTGTTTGTTGTTGTTGTTTTTTTTGGTTTAAAATAAGGGGTGGGGCTCACAACCCCGGCGGATCCCGGCAGCCCAGTATAGGATCCCTTTCTGCCTTCCACCATTTTGACCATGGCCTTGTTTATGGTCACTGGTGGCTATGCAAAAACTACAAGGGGTTAATCATCTACGGTCTAGAGACCGACTAACCTCTCCCTTAGGCTTCGGCCGAGCTTCCTGATCACTCTGTACGTAAATCTTCGGATAGCGGTGTCGGGTTCGAAATCTCCGACGTAGCTGTAAATACTTTGAATTAAAATTAAGTACAAATCCCAAAATCCTATTTCCATAGCATATGTCTATATATGCACAATAGATTGTCTGTCTAGTGTCTATTAGTGTCTATTCTCCATGGAAGGGTCAATAATTGACGCGCATGTCTACATATACAAAATAGACATTCATATGCGTGTTTTTATTGTGTGACGCGGACCATTATATTATTCAGAGGGGGACTGCGTAAAACCCCTAAATTATGATAGAGCAACCACTTCACCTACAAATAAAATATCGCGTAACCTCTGGAGCACCTTTCAGAAAAGAGATATCGAGCAAACACAAAAAAACAATGACAAAACAAAATCGTGCAACATAAATTTCTGCAACCCGCATTCCCCCTAAACTATGAAAATTTTCGTTCCCTTTGCGTACTTCTTTTACTAGTTACACTCATTTAAAAGAAAACAATTTATTCAATGTCGCGCGCTCACAAATTGCATGTGCATGTAAGTAGCACGTGCATGATAGACCAGTTTCGAATTCCAAAATACCGCTGTGTTCCTTGATTACAGACTCATTTACACAGGGTTAGCCTCGTATCAGTGTTTACATATTCACAAATACCAACGGTAAAGTAAAGAATGCACAACTTTAACAATACAAACATTTTGAAACTCGACGGACCTTGACTGGAACACGTGAATATTCTGCACAAACTCGAGGCTAAGGCTGCGTTCCCCCCTACTTAATATCAAAAAAAACATTGTGCTCCCCCTCCTTTAGCAGAAAAAAATTGTACCCCCCCCTCCCCCTATACCTAAATACAAACACTTCTTTGTCCTGATACCTACACATTCTTATGCAAGCCATTGCGATGACTGGTAACGAGAGCTTGCTATAGACTGTCTTCCTGATCGCGATACATACTGAACTGGAAGAGGAATATCGGTTTCCATTTCCTCCTCACTGACGACTATTTTTTTGAAAATTTTTAAAATATTTTTTGAAAGGAACCAGTAAGCAGCACTTAGGATGCTAGGTTGGAAAACTTTTTATTTCATATCTCCTACACGTTTCGTCTAACTCTGTACACTTCTTCAGGACGTTTTACAGTAAAAGTTTAAAGTCCTTTATTTTAAGACTAACTATCCTTATCTACGTATAGGAAGTAGGGCATGTAAAGAAAACACGTATACAGGACTCTAACAAGGGAGGAACATATAGTTTAAAGATGTTGAATAATGTTTGAATAATTTCGGGGGCGAACTTATAGCTATAGCGTGTTTCCTTTACATGATAATGATGATGACAATAGTGATAAAATTGATGATGATGCAGTATACATAATGAACGCAGCCTAACCCTGTGCAAATGAGTCTATAATCAAGAAACACAGCGGTAATTTGGAATTCGAAGCGGATTTATTGTTGTTTCAAGTGTGACTAGGTAGCGCGATTAGCGCTCACACTTACATGCGAGCTTCTTTAGATTGAGCCGAGACCACCTCTCGAATTGGCCTAGTTTAGATCGATCTCGGACCGATTTAAATGGCTAGTGCAAACAACCGTTTAAACCCTATGGAGCCTCATGGAGACACCTTTAAACTAATACAACAAGAAACTAAACTTTATTTACTTTAACAATAACTTCTTTAATTCAAATGTATCTAAGATGAATACAGTTTTTTATTTATGAACAAAATATAAAATTATGCAAATGGCACTATGATGTTTATAAACGCGTTTGGTTGATATATAGTAATTTGAATATATTTTGTTCTGTTAATACATACATTAGATGCATGTCAGTAATGATCTAATATTGATAATCATGCTTTGTTGTATAATTATATTGGAAATTAAAAGGGTAAACAGTGGTGGTTTTTTTTTATCATTATGCTATTCTCTCTACTTTCACATCCCCATAATACTTTGCGTCTTTGGGGGGTAACCAGAGGGTAGAAACCCACTTATTTTGCTGAAGGCTGATCAGACAATGTTGACAATACCTTGTTTGGTATCCAAAAATAAAATGAAGAAGTAAAAAAACAGAAAAAGATAGAAGCTTGAAGACGTTTAAGGTAAATTTTAAACATTTTTTCGTAAGTCAATACATTTTCTGTAAGACCAAAACTTTTGATGATCTGTAGACGCAAAAATAACTTGGAATAAACTGATAATCAGTATTKTACAGATAAAAGCAGGTATAGTATAAATTCAATTAAGAAACCTTTCAATTTGGGACAGTTTTTTGATTGGTTACCCCCCAAAGACGCAAGGCATTATGGCGATGTGAAAGTAGAGAATAAGAATACTTCTTTGGCCAATTCCGGTTTACTAGTCAAACAGTATTCAATCGAGGCTGACTGCGAGGTAAAGCATCCAAATTGATACCCTTAGCTACGATCGCAAGCTTTCTCCATTATTGAATTTCTAGTTTGGCAATGTCCGGACGATGATTACATCGAAGTCACAACACCACAAAAGTCCTATAGGTATGGCTATCACATGCACATGCAGATTGATGGAATCAAAACTTTCAGTTCTCGCGACGCGCACTTTGCAGATTGATAATTTAACTGCATGCGAACCAGCTTAGTCTCCTGCGCAGAGGTTTTTAGGGTCAGACACTAAGAACGTCCCCGTAGGAGGCTAACACCAGCTATGCAAGCCAAAAAACTCTTAAAATTTTTATTCTATTTGTAATATTAAATTTTATCTTATTATTCAACAAACATAACAGCTTTGCCCGTGGTCTGTTCAGTATACTGAGCACTTGAACTCAATAAGAGTGAGGGTGTTGCCTATTAGCTACCTGTGGTATTTACTCAGTCATCAGGACGACGCTCGTTGGCGGTAGCGTGGGGGGCGTGGCCGGCATCCAGGAGGTGCCGTCTACGAGGGGACTTTGACCCCCTGCGTGCCCTGCTTGCTGAATTACCGAAACAGAGCTCGAAATAAACTGTTGTTTTTCGTATGTCAAATGAAATAATCTGAAAAATGAAAATCTTAATGAAATAAGAAATCATGCTTTAGTCTAATCAACATCTTGTTGTTTAAGTCCTCGATACTGAGTACTGGCGGAATACTTTGGAGATTAGGTTTTCGAACAGAAACTTACATATGTCTACCTGTTGAAGCAAGTCTAAAAACCACACGTTTTTAAATTCTAAAATAGCTTGTCGAAAGCCAATAAGATAAGATGGATATATGTGGCATTTTGTTGACAACTACGCGACATTCTCGTGCCCAGACCCTACAGTACTCATTAGCCAAATCGTACGATTTTCAGTGAAATGAATAGGGTTTAGGTACGAGAATGGCGCAAAGATACCTGAGGCGGTAGCCTTGGGTCCTCTGATGAAAGAGGTACTTAGCAGGACTTTCTTTTGATATTCATGATCAAGCGAGAATTATGCTGGAGCAGGACAATAGGTTTATGGTTTTTACTCAAGAAAAATGAGCTCAGTTTAATTTACAGCGATTGTTTTGGTTAAGAGTTGTCATGCATGGAAACCATTTAACCATTTTCCCTACAAAATATTGCATAGGTTTTAGCTGTAGGTCGACTGAGAGCCATAACCGTTTATTTTGCATCTTCATTATTGACGTGTCACTTTTTCATGACGTATGTAGTTGCTTTGTGTAAAATGATCGATCGTGACGTCATGATAACCAGTGGGACTGGCATATTAGTTTCAATCACGTGTTTATCATGTTTATTAAGACATAGTGGTGACGTTAGGTGACGCATACTCCGTTATCCTTCGGCACATCGTCGTACTGTGGTTCTCTTTTATCGCCAACTTCGCTGTTTGGAATGGAGTTGACTGATGGTGTTTCGCATGTAAGTGATTGCTTTCCATCGTCTTGCACCATATTCCGACTATTATAGTACCGAACGATTTCAGACATATATCCGAGGTCTTCGCTGTCGTCGTTGTCTACGTTATCTTTACTATCGATAATAATAATATCACCGGGTTTTACGCTTATCTGTTTCGTCTCCTCATCTTCTCCCTGAATCTGTATGGTAATGTTTTTATTTTCATCGTCACTGACATCTTCTTCTATTTCATCGTCTGCCTCGTCATTCGGTTCTAGCTCGTCTTCACGTTGCACTACGAATTTTTTAGTTCTTCTTCCCTTTAGATGTAGGCCCAGTAAAAGAACGAGCAGTAGGACTGTAGCGATGGCCACCCCAGAGAGAAACAATACTAATACGTATTTAGGTTGTCCTATTAAAAACAAAAGTTAAGCGACAAGTAGTTAGTTTGTTAGTCTGTCATGCTTTGCTTCTCAATGCAGTATGGCACGTTAGAATGTTGTGTGCACCATGCATCATCCTGCTAGCTCAGTCATTCGAGCATTGGTCTATCGTGCGGAATGTCGTGCTGGTAAAGGGTTTTGAACTGTACGTTTAGTAGCAGTTATTATGCATTCAAATGAGATGCAAATAAGATAACAAGCATTGTATGGACCCGATAGCTTCACTCGTATGATTCTTAAAACAAAGGAATATCTCATTGCAGGCGTTCGACAGCTATTGTATGGCCCATTTCTTGCCTATTTCATACAGTGTCAAGGAGCCATCTTGAGAAACCTACTTCAGTTGTGTCATTCTAAATACACCTTTTTGGTGATGCACAAGCGTTGTCAAAAGTATCGCGTGCTCAGAATTAAAAAAAGAGGCATTTTTGGGCAAGATCTTACGCTTGCTTTGTAAAACACATCCGAAAACTTCTTTAATTATGTTAATAATGGAATAATTTGAAGATTCTATTAGTTCAAGAGCAGTATTACAACTAATTTTTCAAAAAATATAGCCCACTTTAGACAAAATCTTTTCTTCATGGGTTTTAGAAACCGTCTATCACTCTATGGTTTCCGATTTTTTATAAACACTGCCCAAAAACGCCTTGTTTTTATGTCTGCGCCTGCGATATTYATGAAAGCGAAATTTATTGACAAGCGTAGTATAGTTATATTCATGTAATTTGCTAATCAGTGCATAGGGATAAACACTCTCCTTCCTCTACTCTTTCTTTAATAGAACGTTTTAGCTTGGAAGTAATGTTTTGCCATGTTAGACCACGTGTCAGTATAATTTCTTTGTTTAGCGATTGTACAAGACACGAAGACACATTAATATGGATACAATTCAAAGAAGAATCTTATATATCAGGAGGGAGAGGGCGTCTTTAAGCCAATGGATGGAACATTGTTGTTTCAATTCGTGATGTCACGTTCCAGTTCTCTGATTTTCAAATGGGCGCGAAAATTTGAAGACGGATAGATGACGGATGGAAATGGTCAAAATATTCTTATTACGACGACTTTCTGTCTTGACTTAGCAATCGACACAAACTTTATGACTTATTTTAGGATAATTTTTTATGAATTATTCTACGGATATCTTGAAAAAAGGGCATGGTTTTAAAAGCTGAAACTTAGAAAGATAGCGGAATGCTGTGTAGGAGAACATCAAAAATCAACCCCAAAATAAAAGATTTGATGAACAGGATATCAAACATCATAAATGCCAATTTTATAGTAAATTTCATTGGCTGACGAGGGAATTCCACATTGAATTTCACGAGAAAACCGAAATCGCAAGAATCGCGAAGTGATTTTAAATTTTTCTTTCCATCCAATAATGATAAGATATTTCTTTGCGATTGGTGCGCGAATTCTAYTATAACATATCCTATTTTGTTGTATTTAGTTGTCTTCCTTTGTTACCTTTCAAGCAGTTTTCACGTTTATTTTGTGTTTTGATGGGAATGAATATACAAAAAACAAAAAAAGATTTAATGCAAAATGTTATGCGGGTTCCCTGTTGTTTTTTATTTTTATAATGCGAATCCACGTGTGACGTCACGCATGGAAACAACACTACAGTAAAATTCCTAAAGTATTGATATTATGACGCTCTCGTTCTAGCAGATCATTGGTTCAATGGCAAATTCACTCACACAATTTATCTTCACATTCTTACACCTTTTATTTTAGTACGTTTGTTGATTTTATTATGTATGTTCATTATGGCGAGTAGAATGCATTTATATTTATATGTCAACATGCGGCATTTTATGCTGTAGAGATTTGGTTAGTTTTTATTTAAAATTTAGATGTATTTAGTTGCCATACTTATGTATGACCATTTCAATAATTACTTGTTGTCAAGATATTATCTCAATGAGTACTCGAATTTTGCTTAGCAAATATTTATTACTATTTATCATATATATAGAAATTATTTTTRGTGTGATTTTAAAGTTTCTTTATGGTATGAAAAAGTTGTTTCCATGTAGTTTTGGAGTTCTTCCAATTTAGTTTTACTCCGGAATCGTTTAAGGAATGGAAATAAATTAGAAAAAGAGGAAGACTTAAAAAAAGTCATTCCTTCATGAAATGCTTGTCAAGGTACACAAATCTCTACAACATAAGAAATATCACCAACTAAACACCACGCCMAATTGAGCCAATCAGTTCACATACGAATCACGTGATCGTGGTGCTTAGTAAGCTGGTGATATGCCGCATACCTGAGAGAATGACGTATGTAAGGTACAGGGAAACCACCAGGTTGATCAAGAATTCCTTCTCACCTCGCTGTATGTAGCCAGACTTTGCTTGTTTTGGAGGTGGTGATGTCGTGCTATGCATTGAGGTAGGAGTAGGATCTACGTTGGTTTTTTTGACTTCTGCTGAAGGAGTAGGATTTCGTGATGCAGCTATAGATAAGTTTGTTCCAATTGTTGTCGTAATGTTCATTTGTGTTTTGATAGTTTTTCTAGTAGAGGTAGACTGTGATGTTGTAATGCTCATTGTTGTTTTGATAGGTGTTTTAGTAGTGGTCGATTGTGTTGTTGTCTCATAGTCTGTTAGCCATTCTGCTGTTGTTGTTGCTTGGTAACGTGGTTTAGTTTTATGTTTATGACGTTTGCGAGGAGCTGCCGTTGTCATGGTTGCTGGTCTTGGAACTGAAAAATACAGGACGTCGAGTAAAATCACAAACGCATTGATTGGGGGCCTGTGTTGATTCTGATCACCACTTCTCAAACTCATTGATAATTCATAAGTTCAATTAACAATTTTTTAGAACATCATACTCATACATCATAATAAGATATATCTCTTAGGTGAAAATACCACAAATGCAAAACCTATCCTTAGGTTAATTAAAAATATACTCACCACAGCCATATATGACATCCAGATATTTGAACGTATTAGGACAAGGGTCAGGAAACATAGTACTATCAGCCTTGATGTTACACCTTGCTTTGTTAGTGCATCTATTTGTCACGATATCCATCGCCTTGGAAGACTTGCATGTTGTGTAGGTAGTATTGACGTTGGGACATATGGAACTCCCAGGCTCCGTGCGTCCATAGTTAGCCGAGAAAATCCTGATTATTAGGCTCGACTTGCATCGTATTCTTAGTTTATCCCCTTGACATGCATATCTTGACTTGATCAGGAATGCTTCTGCCACTGTCAAGGCAAAGTCATAAAAGTATGAGAGACAGTGCAAAAGAAAACGGGGGTGATATTTGAATTTAGTAATGTCACTGCAGGCAGTCCGTCTTTAATCTTGAACAAGGTTGTATTACATAACAAAAAGGATAGATAGGCGATAATAGTGATCGAAACAATAGGTAAGTCGTTGTCAACCTAAAGTGAAGCTATTACTCATTTATATTCATTACGTGTATAAGTTATTGGTTATTATTTTAGGAAAACTCTGGAATGTAAATAACAAATAGATAAAAAAGCTAGTTCTGCTCAGTTATTTTAAGCTGGGAAAGGAATTGGGTAAATAATAATAATGATGATAATAATAATAATAATAATAATAATAATGAGGATGATGATAATGATAATAATACTGAATAATAATAATAATAATATAGTCTTAGAAGAGTCTTAGAAGTCGAACAAGCGACTTTTAAGCCTTTGGTATTCACTAGAACGGGAGGTATGGCAGATGAGTGTAGGGAAGATACCACATTAGGCTCGCCGAACTAAATGCCAACAAGAAAGAAGAGATTATGCCATCACTGTATCCTGGATACGAGCAAAGGTTTCCTTCTCCATTTTGAGATCAGTTCTTCTTTGCCTTAGAGGTTCAAGAACCAACGAAGAAGATTGAATAGGAACTTAAAAGACGTAGACTTGGATGTCCTGAATGTAATTGCAGCAATTAGCAAGATCCCCCCCCCCTCCCCCCCATACATATTCATACATATATATATAGAGGATATTACATGGGCGCGCGGAGATACGAAATTTATCTTTGAGTGTTGAAAAGATCTCTCACGAGTGAGCGCATCGAACGAGTAGGAGATTTTCAACACGAGAAGATAAATTTCGTATCTCCAAGCGGCCATGTAATATTCTGTTTATTATATAATTATCCATGAAATCAACTTAACAAGCTTTTTATCATTATAAAGAGTTTTTATTCATAAACTAATAGCTTAAATACACATGGTAACGATATTTTCACATGTGAAAATAACATGTTATTGAAAATATCATTTTTTCGAAAAGGAGAAATATAGGTATTTTATGGATAATTATATGATAAATATATTTATTATATAGTTAGGATAGTACGAACGCGCTGATTGGTAGAAAGGAAATCTGTGCTTTATTAGTGAATGGAACACAGTGCTGACGCCATCAAAGGATCAAACATCACAGTGATCAAAGGACTTCAGTTTTATTAAAAACATTTATTTATTTACTTGACTCTGCTGGTGAAAACAGGAACACCAAGATAAAATATCCTGAATTACAGTTGCCATTCGAATGTCATCATTTGAATTTCAGGTATCTTATTTCCTCAAAGACACCCTAAGAGATAATGGCTTATTCTCTGGTAGTCCTTTTAGATTTGTGACATTCTAATAGCCACCAATTTGCAAATCTGGACAAGTCATGACGAGCATTTCCGCCCTTCTCGAATCGGAGTCCCTTCCTCCGGGCTGAAAATTAATATGGCTTCCCGGGGTTTAAATCAACTCTTAAATACACGTCATATCCCCACAAGCAGTCGAATTGTCAGAGAGTTGCAATGGTTATATAGCGAAAAATGTGTCAATAGTAGTGCTCTTTCTTATATCCAGAAATTAAAAGGGAGAGAGTTCCATTTCTTTACGGCTTGATAGCATAGGCGGAAGTCCATGAGTTTCCAGCGTTATATCGATGCACTTCATACAAATTCACTAAGCTAAGATGGTATACTAGTACGTTTTTTCTTTTTTCTTTTTATTTGCATTTGAAAATATAGGCGCATCTGTGGTACTGTATGCGCTACTAAGAAAAGTGTCTGTAAGGGCGTCGGAAGCAGATGAGTGGCAGGAAGATCAAGAATGACTTTAGCGGCTTTGTTCTGTAGGATTTTCAGGCTTTGCATTAAACGTCGAGTTGTTCTTATCTCCCCAGATAATGTGTCTATATTTAAACAAATGCAGTGTAAGGCTATATAGGAGTCCAAGGCGTTTGTTGATTTTGAGAGATTATCAATGTGATTCCATGGCCATCAGGTCATGTCAGGTAAGAATGTAACACCTAGTACTTAAAGTCATTAACCCTTCCTACAGCACTGTCGTAAATCTTAATCGAGATGGAGTTGACCTCTTAAGCATCACTTTTGTCTTGGATGTATTTAGTGTTAGTTGATTGCTAATAAGCCAGTAACCTATCTTTTGCAGATGACCGGGCAGTAGATGAGAAGTGGTACAGCTCCTTATCGTCCGGGTATAAGGAGCTTTGTGCGTCTGGGACACAATTAAGCAGATCGTTCGTGTACATTATGAAAAGAAAAGGGCTCTCTTTTAACTAGCTCTGATAAATGAGACATCCCTGTATAAATATTGTTAAAATAAAAGGTCCCAGAATGCTTCCGGTCTGTTGGACACCTTTGTTGCAACAAACAGCGCAAGTCCACAACTAACACTAGTTGTTAGCTAGTTATCTCTCCACAAGATGTGCTTAAAGATGGGAAGACAAATAAGACTTTAACCAGGCAAGATCGTTATTGCAAACCCGAATAAAAGACAGTTTTCCCAGCAGTATATCGTGGAAAGGAATGAAGGTTGATAGATAGCATGGGCAAAAATTCTATACAGTATGGCGGATGAGCATGCGCACTTCGCTCGTTTCTGGTTGAAATAAAATGGCAGCTTCATAAGAGAATGAATGGGAGAAGATATTGAGTTCGAAGTTATAAGCTTTTGATAATATAACCAAACGGGTGTATACAAAACGAAGACCGAAGACCCTAAAACGAAGACCCCCTTAAATTTACCCGAAACAACGCTGAAAGAACGGCGAGTATTCAATTCCACTTAAAAACTAATAGAAAATAAAGATATTTGCAATTTACACGGTTTTCGGCGGGGCCTTCGTTTTGTATATTACCCCATGAAATATACAAAACGAAGACCTCCCCCCCACCCCCCACCCCCACAACAAAAATTTACCCGAAACAATGCGTAGAGGGCGGTACAAGATACACATAATCATCCTTATCATCCTCATCATCATCGTCCATCTCAAACATCTCCATCATGCAGTACACCAAACGATACACGTATTCTAAACACATATTGAGTCATGAGCCAGTAAAACAACCACAACAACGCAAAACTAGACTAAAATATCATTTTTATATAACATTTAATTACATATTATCGTACTCGTAATAGGAACACGTACGTTGTCGAATAAGTACTACTAAGATGCATGTGATCTTTTCATGTTATCATTTACAATGATATTAGAGAAATAAGAATTATTATCGTGGCAAGTGTAACTTTTAGATCTGTAAATTGCAAATATCATTATTTGTTATTAAGCATTATTCTGTTAAATTTCACTGACTGGGCTTTCTRTGTCTGTTGATTTTTGACGTTTGGGCTTCCTGTAGTATATGATTTATATGGCTTATGACCCAAAAAATCAGCTGTACTCAATTCATTCAAGCATTTATAAAATTTATTCGACTCGTCTCTTCTTTCCCTCTTGGATGCCATGTTGTTTTGGTCCATTGACCATGCGCATTAAGGTCACAGCGGAGATTTCCGCGCCCGCGAATTAAACCGCTGGACTGTATCAAATTTTTGCCCATGGGTTGAAGAGTTTAGTTACAGATAGAAAGATGGCAGAGGCAGCATCTTTGAGCAAACATCCCTCCCACCCCCCTTTTATCATACAGGGATTTCAAGAAATAGAGTAAATTAGGACCTTTCCTAAACTCTACCAGAATTAGATGAGTAGCGTGTGCTTATCCAGGGGTAATAATAATAATTCGATAATAGTGAGTTTAAAATTAGTTTACGGCAAACGTGAAGCGTCAGTTGACCATTAAAAGATTCTTTAAAATTAGCGAAAAGGAATTTCAAAAATCTCCAAGTAGTAGATAAACAAAAGAATACTTGTCTTTGTCGCGAAGGTTTGCCGTTTGCGGGAAGGAAAAACGGGAATCTTAATCTGCCTAATAAGTCGATTTCCCTCCAATTTATTTCACCTTTTTATCGCAGTTTTATCTAAATTGGGTTTCCTGTGGCTAAACGGAATGAAAGCTACGCTTTTAGGCAGTGACTAAATTTATATATTAATCAATGTGATGTTTGAATTTAGTTATACAAAAGGGTTTGTGCATCTGTACAGTAAATAAAAATGTGGCCATATCATAAGAAGCAAGATTTTAAAAATCAAGCCGTACTGAAAATACTCTCAGAGAGTCTACTATTTCATCGTGGTTAATGCTGGCAACTTGAAAAACCGATGAGATTCGCCCAAAGATTTCCGCGTCAATTTTGGCATTGAGTGAGAAGAGCGTCCTCTTGGCATTCTTGAAAGATACTCTTAATTTTGATGAAAGATTTCTGATATCATTAAGGATGRTACCATACTTAATGCAATAATTAGCTACGTTAATACTACAACAGTACAGATGTTACTTAATAGAGCCATCCAKTTATCGACCCCGGGGTTTTGTTGCATGAGGTATTTCTCATACCGTTGCATTCGAGACTTGCTTATGTTTCACCATGTAATACAATAAAAGGTATTTTTACAGTTTTGTACAAGTTATTTACAGCGCTAGCTGTAAAATGAKGTGCCACATATGGTATAATATACAATAAAAACCATTATGGATTGGTTTTTATGTATTTTCAATGTTATTTCAGCCATACTTAACCCAGCGCGTTCTACTCACCAGTTTATTTTTCGTGAACGATGTATCAAAAAAATCATAATATTAAGTTATATGTATAGAAATATCGGAGCCAATAAAAAGTGCACAGGAGTGGTATAGAAAGCTAATCGCGCGCTACTATTCTCACAATAAAGAAACAAATGCTCGATGTGTAATATGATGGGAAAGAAAGCGAGCGTAACGGCAAACTTGCTGTCAGCTCAATGTGCGTGAGTAGGTTAGGAAGGTTTTCTCCTTTTTTATTTACGCGAACCTCTACTACTCAACCTGCTTATTTTTCGATTCCATTTCCTATCCATACTGGCTTCACTCCCGAACGGGAGAAAGCGCTGCGTTACGACATTGATAGCGGCTGCAAGGGAGCTATATCTCAGTAGGATCGTATCCTATATTATTCAACTTTATCAATTTTATTCTACATAATTGTGGTTGTTCCACCTAAAAATAAACATGTTGGTTTATCCAAACCGCAATGCCTCCTACGAAGACAGCAATTCCTTTAAACTCTCAGATGAAATCCTAACTCATCCAATCTTTACTTGTCAATAAGGATTCCAAATTACCCGCTTCAAATAAATCCTAAATACTCGTGGCTTTATGGTCGCATGTCATACCAAATGTATTGCAAAAAAGATTTGAGAAGATGCAGTGAAACAGCTATTCATAAGGCGAGCACTCAATACTAATAATATATTGGCTTCATGTCTCCCATTCCATACGAGCCAGTCAACAGGTCATCTCTTTGYTTCAATGTGAGTTTTTCCTTCTGCGGAACAGTTGTATAGCTCACGCAGGGATTTATGAGAACATCAGTGAGAGAAGTGTTGGGAGAATCCGAAGACGTGTACCGGAGTAGACGTCCATTTAATCCTTTTTTTATTCAGGTGGACTGAGATCATGAAATTTTTTATCACATTAGTTTATCTTTCACGTGGCAAAAAATAAAATAATAATAATAACAATGATAATATTAATGATAATAATAATAATAATGATGATGATGATAATAATAATAA